GCAGAGGCACAGTGAGCCCTGGCAGAGGAACAGTGTGTTTATTGTGGTCTGGGGCTGCTCTAGCAGTGTGCACTGCAGAAGCCTGGCTATTAAATCAGGCTCGTTTCCTCATAACAGCTTCATTCTCTTCCTTTCTTCTTCTCCTGCCTCTTGACATCTGTGTGCACTCCTGAACGACGCCAGAGCCTGTGGATGTGTCATTTGGATTTTCCTTATTCTGCCGTGTTGCGTTTTTCCTCGTGGTCGGCGTGAGGGTGCCGTGCAGCCCCTTCTCTGCTGGGTGGGCACGGGGGCTGTGGCTGGTCCCCTGAACGGACGCCTTGTTTGTGCTCCAGCCGTTATGGACCTCTCAATTTTGTGTACTAACAGAGTTAGCACTGAGCAGCCCTTCGCATCTGCCGCAGAATGACCGTTTGTGTGTGGGGCAGGCATATTTCCTGAGCTCATATTAGCAGTTTATTCAGTAGTTGTCTCCTGCCCCCCTGCTGCCTGTGCCTGACTCCCCTGGCTTCCTCTTGTCCCATACCCAGGGAAGGGCAGGCCAGCATCAGTATTTGCTGATTCTCCCACACTCGTGAGAATGAACTCCAGGGATTCAGGAAAGCTACTTGGGGAGACTTAAAGGGTATGGGCAGGACAAAAGAAACGAAGGCTCAGTTGTGTTACTGGATCTGGGCAGGGAGACTCTTTTTTTCTCATTGTGTTAGCTAGGTAAAGCCAAGGGGCAGCTGCTGGGGGATAGAAGACAGGTTACAACAAGAAACTCTATGTACAGTCGGCTGAAACGGAATACAAGAATCTTTTTCCCTGTGTTTGTAACCTCGGCCCTGATTCTTCCATAGCTGACTCCCGATACCATTGCTTGGTAGTTTCTATTGACATCTCTCGTATGTTATGAAAATACTCATCATTTGCATCCATGCAAGCCACAGCTCAGCTGCTTGTCCCCACGACTGACAGGCCCTAAGGGTCAGTCCACTGTTTTAAGGGTTTCTGAACCTCAAATTGCACTGTTGTCGGACGTCCTTCTGCCTTGGCTGCCCACGAGACGTGGCCGTGGTGCCCAGGTCAAGAGCAGCGCGCGGAGGTGTGTCAGAGCTGACTGTCGAAGGAGCTGTGCGCGGGGACCCGCAGTGCCCCGAGCTCCCAGACCGGCCCTGGAGCTCTGCCCGGTGCGCTAGCACAGGGGAGGGAGGGGAGGGAGGCAGGAGCATCCCTCGGGCTGCGACAGGCTGAGCGCCCGCGTTCCCATCCCTTCCCCACCCAGTTCCTTTGTCTCGGCTGCGCTGTGGAGCCGGCGCTTTGGGCGCAGGGGTGTTCTCTGCGTCCTTCTGCTGACAGGGAGGGACCCGCCGATTACCGCTGCTGGGGGGGACTTCAGAAATTGCCCGGGGGACGGTGGATGGAGAACAAAGCCGGTTCCCTGCGGAGGAATGAATTGCGCCAGGCTGGCAGAGCCCTGCGGCCAGCCCCGCTCTGCGCCGCGGAGAGCAGTGCATTCGCGTTCAAACCCGGGGCGTGGGCTGCGCTGGACGGGGGGTCGAGAGCTGGAGGTTTGCTGGAGGCATGTGAAGCTGTCGAGGTGACAGCATATCCTCTGGCACAGCACAGTCAGCCTGTGTCACCTGAATCCGCGGGAGAGATCGGCCCCTTTACCACCTGCAGCTGTGGTTCAGACCTGTGCAGGTGCAGGTAGGTAGAGGAGCAGGACCTCTGCCTTGCCAGTTCCTCAGGGCAGGGTCTGCGCCCCTAGGACCGTGTCCACCCTCTCCCATTAGTGTGTGGTGAGTTGCCCAGGTCCAGAAGTGTGATGCAGGAAGAGCGCAAGTGCAGTCCTGGTCTGGGTGTTCCTCTGGTGCCTGGCTGTGCTCCTTTGGAGAGGGCTGCTGGTCACTTCAGTCAGTAGAAAGGAGAACAGAGGAGGTGGTAAATCGTGAGATGGGAACACAGTCCAGTGCCTCCTGGGTCTTGTATAGACCTGTGAAATGCCTCTGAAGAACTGCCCCGAGCACTGCAGGGGAGGGCAGAGACAGGCAGCAGGCTGCCTGTTCTTTAATCTTCGGAAGGTGGTAACAGAGGAGAGAGATATAAATTATATTCTTTAATGCAATTTATTTTATATGGTGTATTGGACAAGATTTAAGGATATGCCCTTATTACAGACTTGCTCTAAATACTGGTGTGTGGCTTGTGCTGCCTACAGAATTATGTGCATAATGTCCTGTTGCAGGAAGCTTTTGACTTCCCTGTGTATTTTATGTTGTATCCCTAGTGACTTTGCTTGGTGCCCACTCTGCCTCGGTGGTGTTTCTGGCAGCCCCTGTCCCATTCAGAAGCAGCCTTACGAGCATGGCATTTCCAGTTCTTGCTCTTGTCCTCTTGTTTCAAGTGTCAGTACACGTGTGCCCTTTCTGCAGCATGGGCTGTTAAGGTGAGAGGTGGTGGAGCACCCACAGAGGGCCCTGTGCAGGGTGCTGAGAAGCACATGTGTTATCTGCTACTGACAACTGCTGTGCTCTTCCCTTTGCAGAGCGATCGTCTCCTTATTAAAGGAGGGAGAATAGTCAATGATGACCAGTCATTCTACGCTGACATTTACATGGAGGATGGCCTCATAAAGTAAGTATGTCGCTTCTGTTACCTCCATCTCCCCTTAAATCAGCTTCACGTTGGGTGGTTATTGCCTGTTTGTGGATGTGGTCTGCACCCAACTTGCCAGCCAGTAAAACCTGGTAGCCCTCTGTGGTCAGAGGCTCAGCTATCTGCAGTGTATGCGAGACACGATTGCCTCACGTGTTTTCAGAGCAGCTCCAGTGACTGAATTGCAGTCAGGCTCGTGGCTTCCTGATACAGTGTCCACTGTACAGCAAAGCTGCATCTAATTGCGCCAGGAACAGGATCTGTCTTCGGCTCCTGTTTTGCTCTGTGTTAACCATATTAGTATGAATGACCCCACACAGGATCCTGTTTGTTAGTACTAACAAGGACAGTGCTGTGCTGTAAGTCATCTGCGTCCTTGAGATTTCCAGAATTGCAGGGAAGCCTCTGGATTCCCCCAGCTTCTCCATGTGTGTCTCAGCTGAAGGAATAGCTCCATTGTTTAAAGGCTGCCATTCAAACGTGGCAAAGGTACTGCATTGGGTCCAACTCCACGCTGGGTGAAGTGAAAGAACCATGATAGATTATAGCAGAGAGACTTGATAAGGCATTGCTTGCTTTATGGTAAGTGTTAAATATCCAGCCTTCCCAGGGTGGTATATGTTAAAAATCCAACAGCTGATAAATACTTCAGGAAGTGGGACTGTGGGGTTTTGAGGCTGTTTTTAGCTGGTGACCAAGAGCATGTGTTATTGACAAGTACTTGTACCCAGGCAGGGCAGGGATCAGAGCCAGCTTCAAGTCTTGCTATGGCACAGGCTTTCTGGGTATCCTTGGGCAAATCACTGAGCCTCATCTGCAGCCTGGAGGTCACAGAATTTCACTGCCTTGGAAGTGAAATGCTCTCACAAGTGAATTCTGGTAAGAATACAGTGAGCAGTTTGAAACCCCTAGTGATGGATTCATCTCCGTAAAAGCAGTAGGAATTGCTGCTGGTTTATTGTTGTGAGGACACTGGAGTGAGCAGTTCTGTCCACAGAGTTTTTGTTATGCTGAGGAAAAAACCTGCAAAGTGACTAAACCTGAATTAAAATGCAAAAATGGAGGTGTGCCAAGGAAATCAGAAGATTTCCACTAAAACCAGCTTGTCTTTTATCTTTATTTATCAGGTAAGACTGAGGAAGGCTTGATGAAAATAGGATTTCTGAAAGAAGAGATTGGAAGGCTGAGTGCTACATATGGACAGATAAAGGGATTGAGGGGTGGGGGCTGAGGGAAGGGAGTGCTGAGGTTCAGGTGACTTGGCCTGCAGGAGAGCTGGGTACGTTGAGGTGTGCTTGGACAGGACAGGCTCCAGGGGACTGTAATTGTGTATTAGGTTACCAGTGGTTGTACACTGGAACTTTCTAGATTTCCTGTTTTCAGAAGATGTTTTTAGGTACTTGTGGTGTTAGCTGCCTTCACTACAGCATGGCCCTACTGATAGCAAAGCTTCCTTGGGGGGCATGGAGGGAGGCCCTGGGCAGGGGAGGACTCTGCTCCCCTTGGGAAGAGAGTGAGCCCAGTGCTTGCAGACTGTGCTGCAGCCAGCTGGGCTGGGCACTGGCTGAGCTCCTGCGCAGCTCCCAGGAGGGACCTTCCCTTCACCCCTGTGACTTTGTGCTGTGAGCAGCATTGCAAGTCCCTGATGCGCCCCGAGCTGGCCTAGCAGCTGTGGCATTAGAGTGGAAATCATCTTTCTCTGTAAGTAAGCCTCAGACTTGAGCCTCACTTAAGGTGGGCAGAAGGACAGGGGAGAAGAGAGATTAGAGGGGCGGCAGGGCTGGCGTGGGGTTTTGTCTGCACGCGCCTGGGGTCAGCACTGCCCCGGCTCGAGTCTGCCGTGGCCAGGGGACCTAGGCACACCACAGAGAGCTGCGCGGCCATCGGGCCATACCCCCAGCTGCCCCCACCCTGCGCCTGCCCCGGGCAGCAGGTACCGTCCCAGTCCCCTGCAGAGCAGCTGGGCAGATGGAGCCACTCCTGGACTATGCACATCAGAGGTGTAAGCGAGCCAGACAACCCTGTGTGCCTGGGCCTGGAGCGGGACAGAGAGGAGTGTTCCTGCTGCCAGGGAACTGACCTGGCAGTCCCTGGCTGAGCTGGTCAGGGTTTTGTTGTGTTTTTCCTTTGTGTGACCCTCTTGGTGTGGTCTCATCAGGCAGATTGGAGACAACCTGATTGTCCCTGGAGGGGTCAAAACCATAGAAGCCAATGGGAAGATGGTGATCCCTGGAGGAATTGATGTCCACACTCGCCTGCAGATGCCATACAAGGGAATGACAGCTGTGGATGATTTCTTCCAAGGAACAAAAGCGGCTCTGGCTGGTGGAACCACCATGATCAGTGAGTGCAGCAGGCAGGGCCTGTGCGTGACACCACCCAGCACTCCTGCAACCTCGCTTAGTTCTCTCTTCTCTTTGCTTTTCTCAGTTGTCTTTGTTTTAAATGTCCATGACAGTGTGTTCATATTTTCTGTGATCTCTGTCAGTGCAACCTAGAGAGCAAGGATTGGGATGAATCTTTGGATCCTTAGCAACAATGGAGTGACAGGACAGGAGATGTGTGTAGGACCCCTTGCCCTTGCAGATCTGTGTTCTGCAGTGCTATGTCTGCAGCCACTGCTGCCCCTGAGACCCTCAAAAAGGAGCATTGGCATAATTTTTTTTCCCTGTAAAATAAAAATAGGACAGCATGGTGCTCAGATGACTGAGCAGAGGAACAGAGCAATGTGCTGGCATCCTGCACTGCCTGGAAATAAACAGTGCTGATGAAAGAGGACAGGGAATTCTGAAGTCCTTCCCTGGAGAAGGCCATAGCTGTGCACTAGTTTGAGTCCCAGGTGTTACTGCTGTGCGGTGGTCACGGCTGTGTGCACTGCAGGCTTTCTTGGGCTGCAGGAGCAAGGGTTGATCCTTCCAGTAAAGGGCTGGGCTGCTTGTCATCCCCCACCTATTCTGCTTCCCCCTGTGCCAAAACAATAAGTTTTATGCGATGGACTGTGGCAGGGTGTAGGGATTCCATGGTGGGCAATAAAAGGTGCATTAGTGTTGCAGTGTGGGAGGAGGCTATGTGCTAATGGGGTGGGAGTGGGGATGGACAAGGCCCTTGAGCTTCCAGGCGGTTTCTCAGCGGAAGCCTGCAAAAGCCCCTGGTGCTGTGCCAGAGGCCATTAAGCAAAGGCACTGTGAATAAATGCACTGAGGGAGCCGAGGCACGTTGTGAAAGCCGCAGGAACGTCTCGGGAGCTGTCCTGGAGCCTCTGAGACCAGCGCAGGGTGGTGGAGGTGCCTGGGGCAGGCCTGGCTGTGCTGTGTGGCCTGGACGGAGCTGTGCCTGGTGCCCAGCCCTGCCCGCTGTGCCCTGCAGTGGACCACGTAGTGGCAGAGCCCGAGTGCAGCCTGGCCGAGGCGCTGGAGCGGTGGCGGGAGTGGGCTGACGGCAAGGCCTGCTGTGACTACGCGCTGCACGTGGACATCCCGCACTGGGGTGACCGCGTCCGCCAGGAGCTGCACACCATGGTCCAGGAGAAAGGTGCGTTGGCCAGCCCCGTGCCCTGGCCGGGGAGGGCGAGGGCACCGAGCTGCC